TCTGGATGGCTACATCTTAGTGGAAAAAGAAAAATACACTGAGCATCATTCTCAAGAGAAAATTCATGCTCAAGACAGGATGTGAGTTAGTTTGCATCTTATCTCATTAATTCAATCACCACAACCTGAAATGAAAGTTATTATCCTCATACTGGAGATAAGATGGAGAGGCTCAGGGACTTAAGGAGCCCGGTTAACGGCACAGGGTGGCAGAGCAGGAACTGAAGCCAAGTCCAGTGCTAAACAGGCTATCGGGCTTCAAGCTCTCTGGAAACTTCTGCGACACACTGCCTGCCCCTCCCCCACAAATATCCCAAAAGGTAGGAAGAGGAAAAGGTGTAGATACACCATACTAGTTAATCTGCGGAAAGAAGTCGCTGCTGCCCTTTGCCACCATCCCCTCCTCCTAGTGCGGTCTAAGACAGACTTTCCCTACGCAGTGCTGGAGGATCCCAGTCGCTCCCCTCCTTCTACGGAGACAATCACGAACTCGGATATTCTAAAGCCTCTTCCAAATGCCATTTATTAACTGAACTGCTTTCATACTTGGCTAGAGCCGAGCCAACCTGACATCTCCTATGAGAGGCACGGCGGGCTCTGCTCCCCACTCCCAATCTGTGAGATGGCATGCCCACCCTTCTCCCATCACCCTCCAGACAAGACTTAACTTTTACCTATAATTTCCAACGTTTATTGAAGATCATGCGTCAGACGTTATTCTTCAAGTACTCGGTCCTTTAATCCTAACAGTCTCACATAAGTACTGTTATTATCCCCACAGCAGGAGTGAGGAAAGCCTTCTCAGCGCCCACTGCTCCAGCGACACTATTCGTTTAAAAATCTCCCAGCAGTGGCCAACAGTTAAATAAAAGTATTTACTACCTGGGAGATTAAGAGTCATTCTTCTTAAAAATCACTTTTAGAAAGAAAGCATCTTTTTAGTGCCTCGTATAACACCAACAGAAATCCTGACCAACGACCTCTCCTCTCCTATTTTAACAGTGTTCTCACGGGAGTGGGCGGCCACACAGACATGCAGGTCATCTCAGGGTAGGAGCCCTTAGGTTATAACTCTTTTTTTCCACGCACAACACGACCAGTACACTACGTGTTCTATTAAAATACGTTAAGATTATTGCTCTGTCAAGTACCACAAACCTAATTAACCTGTGCCATGAGAAAGCAACAATTTTGCAAAATTTTCTTTTTTTTTATCTTCATTGATTTTTGTAAATAAAGCGCACATGGCCACTTAATATTTTTTTGAATTCAAATGTTTTTTTGTGAGTCTAAACAACATTAAATACTGTCGACAACACTAAATGCTATCCGAAATTTTCAGTTTCTAGGCTTCATTCAAGCTATCTGCCAAGCAACATGTTTTGCAGACACTGAAAACATGACCTGCAGAGAAACACAGCCATACCAACAATATTAACCACTAACCACTACTATGATAATCTGTATTTTATATCTTTCTGCCTTTGCGTTGCTAACTGGGGGTTAAATCTCCGAAATCAGAATATCCATTTCGATGAACAGTTAGAACGTCATTGTTAAGCATGCAAAGATTGGCTGTCTTTCCTCTTTTCAATGGAACAGCGACAAAACTAGCAATTTTTAAAATACTCAGTTTTTTGTTGCTACTGTTAACACACCATTTAGTTTGGGTTCCTATAATAAGGGACCCATTTTTAAAACTGATTTTTTTTTTCAGCTATGCTATATACGCAGTCTGTAACTTTATTACAAGTTGCCTAAAACACTTAATATTGTATGTTTAATTTTCTGTAAGTGACTGGCAGTCCACAGCAGTTGAAGAACATGAACTTTACACACAGGTCTCCTAAAGGCACTATTTAAGTTGTAATCCAATGTAACTTTAAATCGCAAACATTATCCAAATCACATAAGAAAACTCGAGAAACGTTACTTTTAAATATAAAAATCTACCTGTTGAACCTTCGTTCACTTTTCTAAAGAACGAGCTCACGAGCAGATTCTATTAGTTAAGTTTGTGGGCTGTCACCTCAACTATTTCCACGGCAACGACGGTATGTCGCTGAACAGTTGCTGGCACTAGTCAACTTGAAAGCATATAATTAACATAAAATTCGTACTAAAGCACAGATTCTACTCGTTTCTTACAGAAAATTTTGAGAGAAGCTGCTGCATATTAGGGATCGGATACAAGTCTTGAAAGATCCAGAAACAGTATTCCGGGCTGAACACACTTATTCTAATGAAAAAGGAAACTAATTCCACTTCATGTGCGTTTAGTATGGATCAGAGTAGTAAGAAACTGAAGCATTCCTGGCCGAAAGTTACACACGTGTCTAAAAGGTTACTTCCGGGGCAATGAAAGGCTGCCGCACGAATTTCCCCTGGTCTTGCTCGCGGCACAGCGTCCACGTGGTTCTCCCCTCGGCCGCGCGCCCCGGCCAGGCCTGCGGAGGCCTCGGGGAGCCCCGGGGGGCGCGGCCCGGCCTCAGCCCGCCCTCCCGGGGGCGGGGCCGGCGCGCCAGTCACGTGGGCGGCTGCAGCCGCCATCTTGCGGGGAGGGGTGGGGGAGGGGAGGTGGCCCGAGGGATGGGTCCCCAAGTCCGCGGCGGCGCGTGACCGGGGGTCCCCTCGAGAGAGACGTGCCACACTCAGGCGCCTCCCTGCAGACTCCGAGGGGGGCCCTCTCCTGCCGGGAGCGCGCCGCCGGCGCCGGCGGAAGGCCGATGACCAGCTGGTCTGGACTGCAGCGAATGGAAATGCAAATCTGTTCACCCCCATCAGCTGCCTTTAGAGTGACAGCTTGGGGGCAACGGGATCCGCAGAAAGGTCTTAAGGGCCAGAACAAGCCAGAGATGAGGGCCACGGAGTCCACGCTAACAAGCGCAAAGTGCGGGGTCAGAACAATTTAATGAGACGTGAATGATTTGTTACGGTAACCCTAAGCTAAGCAAGAAAAAAGTTCATCAGGCCACCAGGGTCTAAAAATAGGCTTCAGCGTCACCTGTAGTACGTGTATCCCCTATGATTTATTCACCCATTTCAACTGATGGCCCCAGCACAGGGCACTGCCTGAGAAATAATGATGTGCTGAAGTTAATGGCAGGGTGCCCAACCTCACTTTGCCCACTCCTCCCAGCACTCACTGGATGCCAGAAAAGGCCACACACTGCAGACAGGAGAAAAATCTCATTACTCTAGGTTGCACGTTTCTCTCCCCTTCTCTAGTCGCCTTCAAACCCTCTCATTACAAGCAAAATTTAAAGGAAATACTCCTTGCAGTTAAAATCAGAAATTGGTTACCCTTGCTGGAATGATATGAATGGAATGATGTAACTGCTCCACCGTGACACATTTTTATTATATCTACAATCTAAGGTTATCTCGACAATATATAAGAAATTAAAAAAAAAAACCTAAGTATTGCTTCTGATTTCAGGCTTTCTTCTCCAAATTTAACGACAGTGGCTTATACTTTTTGGAATTAATTTGGTGACGAGTCTAAGAGTGGAAAATGGTTTTTACCAACAGTATACACAGCTGCATACTAGTAGTAAATAGGCACCAGATGACCAAATTTCAAGCTCACCAAGAAAATTAACAGCATTACTACATCAGAGTTTGATAAAATAAATATACCCTACAATGTGAGTCACTTCACAGAAGCCTCATTTTAAAAAGGAAAGGCTCAGCCTACATTATTGCTAAATCCCCTCTAGCTCTCAAATTCCTTGTTCAATGGCTATGGAGTCCACACAGCCCTTAGAGAAATACAAAGCCCAGCTTGGGTTCCAGAATACTGAATGACAGCAGATACTTAGACTGAATTAACTTTCAAGAAGGGAAGGGGGAAAATCCCCTTTTCCAGTAGATCACCCTAGAGATCACCTAAGTTGAAAAGCACTGCAACCAAATTACTACCTTTTAAGTAACTGTGCACCACGAAAAGTTATTGTACATAGTTTTTACTCTTATTGCACAGTTTTTACCTGAAACCCACTCTCCTCTCCTCCATTAAATTGTTCCGAGCAGGGGTTTTATATTGGGCCTAGATTATTATTAGATGCTCTTACGGCTCTACATAATCTCATCTTCCTTGATGTTTGAGACAAATGATTCATCTGGGTTCTCGTCTACTACACTTCGGTGTTTAACAACTTTTAAAAACAACATTTATGTCTACATTAAAGGCCCGACAAATACCCCGGCTTCAAATCTAGAGGCAAGACTGCAGCCTGAATAGAAAATAAGTTATGCCAGAAGGAAAGGGCGTGAGCAGCCCGCTTTAGGGGAGATTTTTCCACCCAGACGACCTGCGCTAATAGTCATCTAGTTGGAGTCCATTCGCAGCTCTCCACCTCCGGTTTGTTACTAGGAACATCAAGTTAGAAGCAGGGGCCAAAGGCCCCTACGACCCCTTTAAACTCGGGCGTTCGCGGGGCGAAGAGAGCCCCCCCCCTTTGTGCTGAAGGCAAGGGCGGCACGCCGCGAGCGCACCTTCCGAACACCTCGGCGAGGGGCTAACGCAGGGCTTTAAAGCTGGAACCCGAGCGCCAGATGGCGAGAAAGGGAAGGCGCTGCCCGGGGCTGGGCTGCGGCTAACAGTCCTCCAGCGCCTCGCCTTTCCCGGCACCCGGGGCGAGAGATGCTCCAAGCCAAAGATGTCCCGAGACCCTGCCTCCGAGAGGGGGACCGTGCTGGGAGCTCCCTGTTTTCCGTGGCAACTCCGGCACGGAAGAGACTTCTAGAGCATTCTGTGATGGCGGGTGCCGGAGTGTGCGGGGGGGTTGGGGGGGGGAGGAATGAGGGTGGGAGACTGGAACTGAACCGCCCAGCCGAACGAAGATTAGTTAGTACTGCGGGGCTGGAAGCCGCGGGGTGGGTGCTCCGAGCCACCTGCGCCGGGCTGAGGCTCGGCCAAGAGGTGTCCCAAAGCCAGGCCGGGGAGGCCGCCGGGGCGGTGACCGCAACAGGGGTGCCGGGAGGCTCGCGCGCCTTACCTGGGCCCGGGGGCCGGCAAAGTTGCGCGGCTCCACCTCCGCCCCCGCGTCCTCGGGCCCCCCGCGGAGCGCGCTGCGGAGCCTCTCCAGGTGCTCCCTGAGGGTGACCCGCTGGTGGAAGGAGAACGCCGGGTGCAGCGAGGCCATGGTGAAGAGCAGCAGCAGCTCCTCCTGCGCCCTGGAGCCCAGCCCGCCGCCGGGCCGGGGCTCGGCGCCGCTGCCTTCCGGGCCGGAACCGTCCTTCTCGGCGTCCTCCTCGCCTTCGCCGTCCTCCCCGCGCTCGCCGGGCTCGTCCTCCGCGCCGCCCCGCGAACCCTCGCCCCGAACGGCTCGCAGACTCTTGAGCACCGAGTCCACCTGGGGCAGGAGGCGGTGCAGGCGGCCGGCGGCCTCGCGGTTCTCCGAGCCCAGCAGCGCCAGGTAGACGATGAGGCGCGAGCGCACGGCGGGCTCTCGGAAGTCGGCCAGCGGCCCGGGGTCCGACAGGCCGTTGGCCTTGGCCTCCGAGTCGCGCAGGTAGTGGTAGTCCTTGCGCGCCAGGTCCTCCAGGCACGAGCCGAGGAAGCGCAGCTCCAGCGGGTTACACAGGTCCAGCAGCCCGCACATGAACTCCAGGCGCTGCGCCGAGCCCAGCACCAGCCCAAACCACTCGTACACCCGCTCCTGCTCGCGCAGCGCCGCCGCGGGCCCGCCGCCGCCGCCGCCGCCGCCCGGCATGCCCGCCCCCACCGCCGCTCCGCCAGCAACAGGCGGCCCGAGCCCCCGGGGCGGCGGCGGGGACGGCGGCGGCGGCGGCGGCGGGGGGCCCCGCGGGGGGCCCGCGGGGGGCGGCGGCGGGGGGCGGCAGTCCCGGCGGCGGCGCGGCGGCGCCTTAGCGCCCGGCCGTGCGTCTGCCTCGGGCTCTTCCGCCTCGGGCGGCGGCTCCACGGGGTGCGTCGGCTTCAGCGGCAGCTTCATCCTCAGCATCCTCGGCTAAGGCGGCGCGGACATGCGAGCGGGGGCGGGCAGGCGGGCGGGGCCGGGAGGGGGGGCGGGGGCCGAGGCGGCGGCGCTGCCGTCAAGAGCGGGGCCCCTCCATGCCGCCGGGGGAGGGCCAGGGCCGGGGCCGGGGGCGGGTCGCGGCCGGGGAGGTCGCCGGCGTCGTGTTCCCGGGCCGGAGGCGGGGCGTGCCCGCAGCGGCTCCTCCCCCTGGGCTCCGCGCCGGCTCCAGGAGCCTGCGTGCGGGTGAGAGCCAGCAAGCGAGTGTGTTCTCCTTCCTCCTCCCTCTCCCTCGTCGTCCGCACTGGGCTGGGGCGGCGGCGCCTCAGCGGTTCCCTCGCGAGCCGGTGTGGACCCAGCGGCTGGGAGAGGAGGAGGAGCGGCCGGGCCGGGCGGAGACGCTGGCGGACTCCGCGCAGGCACCTCGGCCAATCAGCGGCCAGAGTTGACGGTTGCGTAGTTCTCCCCGCCCCAAGGGCCGCCTTTGCGAGAAGCCACGCCCAACCGCCACCCGACCGCCTCTCTCTCTCTCTCTGCGGCTTCCGCGCGGTCCTAATATCTGGTGATTGCCGGCTTAGGGCAGGACGCGGGTGGGACGGTGGGGCGGTGGCTGGCTCGCTAGGTGCGCAGGACGCGGCGAAGAGCGTGCGAGGCCCACGTGAGAAGACTAAAGGGGGCTAATTTCACGTGTTCCGAGGGCGCCGACCGGTGGTTGTCTGCCGACTCCCGTCTCCTCGCGTGGGCCACCGCCCCGCCTCGGCCAGCGCCGTTCCCTTTCCCCCGCCGCGGCGCCGAGCGCGTCCTGGGAGCGGAGGTTCTTCTGAAGTGAGCGCGCTGCCCCAAGGCGAGCTCTTCCCGTCCTCCGCGGCCCGGCCGACCTCGGGGTAGTCGGCGGCGGCAGAGCTCCCACCGCAGCTTCCCCGGGATGCGTTGGGTTGACTCTCTGAGTTGCAGCCCGGGGAACTGACTCGCGAGGCGGGATTGTGTAGCGCCCACGCCGTGTGCGGGCTGCGAGGTGCGGACGTGGGGACGCGCGGCCCAGGGGACGCAGAGGCGACGCGACCCGACGGGGTTCCGCGGCCTCTGGGTGGAGGGGTGTGGACGCCCCTGGCCTAACGGTTACCTCTGATCCGCAACGGTTTTTGGAAACAATTTCCACGACAGTTGAGCCAGAGTCCCTTTCCGCCCCCGCCTCCTCCTTCTGGGCCTCGGTTTATTTTGCTAAATAACATTTCTGTGCCTAACGCTACCGTTTTGGGTTCTTGTGCCCGGGGAAACTCCCTGTGACTCGAGGAGGAACTCAGTAAGATACCACCTTGACAGGCTTTCAGCATTTATTTCTTTTTGTTTAGTTTTGTGACATTTAAGGTACCTTCAAAATGTCTCTCTCACATTGGAGCTTTTTTTTTTTTTTTAGAATATAGCCCCAATTTTTAATACCCATCTGGATCTTCTGAAGGTTAATTTGAAAAGGTGGGTTTGCTTTTAAATCCTTGGTGGTTTAAGTCTTACTACAGCTATATAGTAGGAGTAGGTAAAAAAAAAACAAATGACACTAACTCTGAGATGTTGGCACATCGGTGGGAAAGCATACTGCTGAACCCTTTATCTCACAAGTTTATGCCCAAAGAAGCTAATTTGTAATTCAGTATAAGGCTGAACTGAAGCCTAAAATCAGTTTCTGCAATAAAGCAGGAAGAGGGAATTATTTTCGACACATTTAAGATTGGCAAAGTATAGGAGAGCCATTCTTCCATGTAATTTACTAATTCCTTACATTCTTTACATATTAGGCAGAATTCATCACAATCAGGAGAAAACTTTGTTAAGGACTTTAATAATCCTTGCTGTCTTTTGCCGTCAGCCTCAACTTCCCTGGAATCTTCTACTCTCTCTCATCTACTCCCACATTTCTAAAGCTTAGGGTGAAATACCTTATGCAACCAATAATCATATTAGCCTGGCTAGATACTCACAGGTCTGTTTTGAGTCACCTGTCCAGATTGGGATATCTTGTGTAGTAAGGTAATACTTAACCTTGAGAGGCGTGTTTCCACGTGACTCAGGCAAAAGGTCTTTACATTCTCCAGGAAGCCATTTGGTAGGAACTCTCGGCAATACTTGACCCATAGATTTTATGTTAGAATTCAGATTTGTAAAAATAATAGTAACGATGGTGATGTTGACCTTTGTCCTTGTATCTTTGGCCAACATTAGAAAATTCAGTGATCCAAGCTTTTGCATATATATGACATACATAAAATGATGTCATTATGATGTAGAAATTTCCCATCTATCCCCCAGCGCATTGTTTCAGAGCCCTTTCTCCATACTGTAACTCACTAGACCAGGCCTCAACTTTTTTCCACCCTTGGTAAGTGAAAGGAAACACATTTCAATTACTGCAGTGCTTTTCTGGGAGCAGCCCAGATGGAAACCCAGGTCGGGGCATAGGCATGTTTCATTGGGAAAAACTACCCAGATGATTCTAATAAGACACTCTAGAAGGTATTCCTGCCACCAGGCCTACGTATGGAGAATACCTGATCTAGATTCTCTGTTATTTTACATAATTCCTGGATCATTATTCAGACAGGCCAGATATTGGTACTGTGGTAATAGTGGGAGTGTGTTTGTATCTAAGTTGTTCATAGAGGACAGATATATGCCATAAAAGGCACCTTTAAGGACACAAACTGCTCCTGTCTCTTGTCTCTAGATGATATTTAAGGCATATTCGATATGCTATTTAATGCACATTCACTGTTTACTTCTTTAGCAATGAAAGATGATATTATTGACATTACTGTCCAAGCATTTATATGTAACCAGAAGACTGGCTTCAAGTTAAGAAGCTACTTTGGATTAAGACTCTACCCAGTGACTGAGGATTGAGCAGACTTGACAACCCTCCCTTGTGCAATTGGGTTACTGTAAAGCAGAGTTAACTTTTTTTCTTTTTAATGTTTTATTTATTTCTGAGAGAGAGAGTCAGCATGAGCTGAGGAGGGTCAAAGGGAGAGGGAGATATAGAATCTGAAGCAGTCTCCAGGCTCTGAGCTAACTGTGAGCACAGAGCAGGACGCAGGGCTTGAACCCACGAACCGTGAGATCATGACCTGAGCCGAAGTCGGACGCTTAACCGACTGAGCCACCCAGCCGCCCCAGAGCTAATTGAATGGTTCAAAGCAGACTAATAATGATACCTGCTCTATAAGAAGGAGGCCCAGATACAGCTACTTCTAGCTCAGAGAAAGCAACTAATCTGATCCATACCAAGGATTTGTTCTTTCCGTGTTTGTGAGTGTTGACTTATTTGCTCCCTCTGCCGCTACACCTGTTTCCTCCATTAGACAATAAGTATCTTAGCATCAGTCTTATTCAATTTTATGTTTTGCCATCTGGAACACAGTAGATGTTAATGAATGTTTGCTGAGTAAACAAACGAATAATGCTCCAGGAACCAAAAATAACTGCCAACTACTTTGGGGTCACCTGAATCTTTGTTCATATACCTAGAAGGGAAAAGAAAACCTTTGTGTCCCAACATTGCCAGACTAGTCCTAAGACTCTTCTAAATGAACTAGCTTAGGTTACGTGCCCGTTACTGATTACTCACTGGAGCGACAGAAGTGGAGGCCACTTCCTCAGAACCATGTCGGTCCCCTGCCCCCCAAAAATCCAGGCCTGTTGGAAAGAAGCAAGGGAAACATAGATGCTAAGAAAGCAACCTGTGTGTGTCCAAAGCCATTGTTCTTAGAGTCCATACTTTCGACCACTTAAATTGTCAAGGATTTAAGGTAGCTCAAAAATAAATTTTTGTTCAGTTCACATTTTTGTTTAGTTATACATTTAAGTGTTATTAAATATTATCTTTAAAGATTACAGTTAAAAAGCTGGTCTTAAGTCCTTGCAAACAACACAGATAAATTATTCATTGATCTATTACTTAAGGAAAAAAGTATATATTTGAAATTAAAATGATACATCTTGGTAAAGTTTACAAAAGCATGCTATGTGTTTGACCTAGATATCATCAGTATTGATGCTATGACAGTATTCTCAATGGTAAGCTGGGAATCCACTCCCAACACGAGTGTATGGCACCTTTTCTGGAAGATTAGCGTTTGGATAAATTCAGAGTCTCCCTAGAGTTGTGGTTTCATTTGTCAGGAAGATTCTTAGGAACTTAGATTGACCAGATGCCCCAAGTTCTCCCCCTTGTACATTGAAACTTTTGGAGAAGCCCTGGAATCCACCAATCTTTGTTTTTTATTTTTTGTTATGTTTACTTAGTTTTGAAGGAGAGAGACAGAGCATGAGCAGGGAAGGGGCAGAGAGAAAGGGAGACACAGAATCTGAAGCAGGCTTCAGGCTCTGCGCTGTCAGCACAGAGCCCGACACGGGGCTCAAACTCACAAACTGTGAGATCATGACTTGAGCTGAAGTCGGACACTTAACTGACTGCACTACCCAGACACCCCAAGAATCCACCAATCTTTGAAGCCTGTCCAGAAATAAACTTGATTCTAAAGTGGGTTGATTAGGGGGCACCTGGGTGGCTCAGTCAGTTAAGTGTCCAACTTCAGCTCAGGTCATGATCTTCCGGTTGGTGGGTTCGAGCCCTGCACCAGGTTCTGTGCTGACAGCGCAGAGCCTGAAGCCTGCTTCTGATTCTGTGTCTCCCTCTCTCTTTGCCCCTCCCCCACTCATGTTTTTTCTCTCCATCTCAATAATAAATAAACATAAAAATTTAAAAAAAAAAAAAAAAGGAAGAAAATTTCAGGAACTGGTCCTCGCCAGGTTCTCTGCAATGTCTGCAAATAGACTTTTGCCCAGCTGTAAAGGCTGTCTTCCCCCCAAAAATTTTTTAACATTCAGTTTTGAGAGGGAGGGCTCACGCACAAGCAGAGGAAGGACAGAGAAAGAGGGAGACACAGAATCTGAAGCAAGTTCCAGGCTCTGAGCTATCAGAACAGAGCCTGACTAAGGGCTCAAACTCATGAACCATAAGATCATGACCTGAGCTGACATCAGCCACTTAACCAACTGAGCCACCCAGGCACTCTGACAATACTGCCTTCTAGGAACCCATGGACAGGTAGATTCGAAGTGTTGAAAGTTTGGCTTGCTGTATAGAAAAATAACTGCTCCAGTAATATTCTCTGGAATGGGATTTGCTGAATTCATATACTTCTTTAAATATGGTTACATCAAATTATTGGTGAACTGTTTAGTTGTCAACCCAGCTTAAACCTACTGTCTCTTTGCCTTTATAAAAGAAGTCTAATTTTTTTCAAGCATCCAGCCTTCTTCCAAAGATCCT